GTCCTTGACTGGTGCCTAGGAGATGTGAAGGAGAAATAAAAGCAAGAGTAGTTAGCATTATAAGTTCTAACAGGGAACCAGAAAAAAAGTCAGAACAGGACAAAATTTCAAATGTTCATATCAGAGTCCATTGGAATTTCTTGATGAGAGCTCCCAAAAGCATCCCTCTAATCGGGTTCCTCCTCATTTTTCTTTTGTCTGCCAAGGCTGGACTCAAAAGTGATGGACTCAGGATTTGATTTCAGGCGCTTTGGTAGTTGTCAGAGTGGACAGGGAACCAGAAAAAAAGTCAGAACAGGACAAAATTTCAAATGTTCATATCAGAGTCCATTGGAATTTCTTGATGAGAGCTCCCAAAAGCATCCCTCTAATCGGGTTCCTCCTCATTTTTCTTTTGTCTGCCAAGGCTGGACTCAAAAGTGATGGACTCAGGATTTGATTTCAGGCGCTTTGGTAGTTGTCAGAGTGGCTAGAATTAGTGTCAGTTCCCTCTCCAAGGCTTCTAGATAGGGGGAGAAAACAAATTTATCCATCATTTTAGAACAATAGTGGGTTGTCTCCCTTAGCTACAGGTGGGCACTACAGTATTGGAGACCAAGATTTGAAGTCATACGTTTGAGCAGCACCTTCTGCTTAGAAACAAAATTATCAATGAGAAATAATAGTCTAAATAACATTTTATATGGACTTAAGCCTAATGTCTGGGACGTGTAATCCCTTGCATTCTTAAAGAAATACACTGATCACTTTACTCATTGGTTATACTTTCCTTTTGAGTGTTTAGGATCATACAGTTGGCCCAAATAAACCAATTAATTTTTATTCTTAAGGTCATTTGAGGATCTGTTCCTTATGGTCACACAGCATCACCTTGTCATGAAATGCCACAGAGGTCAGAAGAGGGCATTGGATTCCCCTGGAACTGGAGTTAAGGACGATTTGTAGCCGCCATGTGGGTGCTGGGAATTGAACCCGGGTCCTCTGCAAGAGCAGTCAGTGCTCTTAACCGCTAAGCCATCTCCCTAGCTCCTATTTTTGCTCTTAAGGTCGTTTGTGGATCTGTTCCCCAGGGGTCACATGGGCTTGGGAGGCATCCCTGGCTCCTTTCTTTCACCAGTCCCATCTATGTGAAGATAAGTCAAAGGTCCTCCTCGACCATGTCTGGCTTCACTTGGAAGGATGGATGAGATGTTTCCTCTGTGTTGACCCTTCTCTTTGTAGACTGAACACTGGTTCAAGTCCATCTTGTGGGATCTCCATGTCCTCCCTGAACAAGAGGACAGGTGACACCACAGTCACAGGACATTTTGAGAGATGTTCCACAGTACCCTGGAACTTAGTCGACCTTGGAAGGCAAGGAGTAAAAAACTGTCCTTTAAGTCCCTCTGACCAGATTATTATAAGCCTCAAAGTATGGCTGTTAAACATCCAATAAAGTTAGTTCCACCAGTCTGGCACTTTTAATTACCATGTGCTGGGTTGATAAAGCTTGGGCAAAAAGCAAATATTCTCAGATAACCTTGACTAGGCATATTTTTGTTCCTTAAACTAGTTGACTAAACTGTGGCCTTAGGAATTTTAAGATTATGTGTATATTATTTTTGTCTCATCATTTATATATCATAACAAACCTACATAGATCTTCATCACTTGCTTAGTGTGCTGGGTAGCTTTAGTGCCAACTTGACCCACCTGGATAGAGGGTGCCTCAGTTGGGGAATTACCTCCATAGGAGGCAGTTAATCTTCTTGATTGTTGAGTGATGTGGGAGGGCCCAGCCCACTGTGGGTGGTGCCATCCCTGGGCAGGTGGACTTGTGTTGCATAAGAAAGCAGGCTGAGCAGGGCCAGGGGAGCAAGCCAGTAAGCAGCATTCCTCCATGGCCTGTGCTCTGGCCTCTGCCTCCAGGTTCCTGCTCTGAGTTCCAAACTTGGGTTCCCTCCCTGATGAACTGTGACCTGGGAGATGTAAGCCAAGTAATCCCTTTCCTCCCTAAGTTGGTAGTGGTCAAGAGTATTCTGTCACAGCAATGGAGAAACAAACTAAGATACTTAGGCTTTCTCATTTTTTCTATTTTGGAAAATATCTCCATTCCCATATCCTTTTAGCATCTTTTACATTCTTTTTTTTTTTTTTTTTTTTTTTAAATAATTGAGACAGGGGCTGGAAGAGATGGCTCAGAGGATAAGAACATTGGTTGTTCTTGCAGAAGACCCGGGTTCGAATCCCAGCACCCATGTGGCAGCTAACAACTGTCTGTAACTTCAGTCCCAGGGGATCCAACAGCTTCTTCTGACCTCTGTGGGCATTGCACGACACGGGTACACTTACCTACATGCAGGCAATACACGCATATCCATAAAAAATAAATAAAATAAAAAAAAGTAGTTATGAGACATAGTAACATTATCAAATAAAATTTCCATCTATTGTGAGAATTTTTTTCCTGGGGATACTGAGCAATATTTATCCCTTTCTAAGGTTCTAGTGTCAAACCAGTATTTGATTAAAGTTTTCCTGGGGAACCACTGAGCTTACGGAGATGACTGAGGGGTTGCTGAGGTATATGAATGACCTGAGGGTGTGCACACTGGAAAGCCTTTCCTCAGCGTGGATCAGGCCTTCTCTTCCTAGCCTTCCCTGGATTATATACTTTAGTCCTCCCTAAATCCAGAAGACCATGTGTGAATAGGGCCAAATTACATACAGTTGGCTGGGAAGGGTGGCTGGATATTCCAGTGAAGGTCCTGTGGCCCTGCTTGCCTCTCCTTTAATAAAGGAGCACAACTGTCAACAAGCCCAATTGTGATGATGCTTAGCAATCAGGCACAGCTCAAGTTGTGATGATGGTGGTTATTTCATGCAGAAGAGACTGCTGTACAGCATCATCTTATTAAAAGGGCATGGAATTTAAAAGGATTTGGTGCTAGGATCAAATGAGGGACAACATACGTCATTTGTTTTTCTGAGTCTCTCTTCACTTACTATAACAGTTTCTAGATCCATCTGTTTACCTGCAAATTTCATTATTTCATCTTTCTTTATAGCTGAATAGAACTCCATTCTATAAATATACCACATTTTTGTTAACCACTCGTCAGGGACTTTTTGAGACAGGGTCTCCCTGTAGCCCCAGCTGTCCTGGAACTCACTATGTAGACCAGGCTGGCCTTGAACTCAACAGAGATCTGCCGGACTCTGCCTCCTGAGTGTTGGGATTAAAGGCGTGCGCCACCATGCCTGGCTAATTTTAGTTTTTTTTTTTTTTTCGGACTTTTTGAGACAGGGTCTCCCTGTAGCCCCAGCTGTCCTGGAACTCACTATGTAGACCAGGCTGGCCTTGAACTCAACAGAGATCTGCCGGACTCTGCCTCCTGAGTGTTGGGATTAAAGGCGTGCGCCACCATGCCTGGCTAATTTTAGTTTTTTTTGAGTTCTCCACACTGTATTTTAGTTTTTTTTTTTTTTTCGGACTTTTTGAGACAGGGTCTCCCTGTAGCCCCAGCTGTCCTGGAACTCACTATGTAGACCAGGCTGGCCTTGAACTCAACAGAGATCTGCCGGACTCTGCCTCCTGAGTGTTGGGATTAAAGGCGTGCGCCACCATGCCTGGCTAATTTTAGTTTTTTTTGAGTTCTCCACACTGTTTTCCATAGGGGTTTCATGAGTTTGTAATCCACCAACACTGAATGAGTGTTCCCTTTTTTCTCCACATCCTCGCCAGCATTTGGTATCATTTGTTCTCTTGATCCTAGCCAGTCTGATTGGGGTAAGGTGATCATGTTACAGGTTTAGTAGTCTAGCCTGAGTCAGAGTCAGCAGACATTTACTGACTGCACCGAGAAGTGAGATTATTGTGTAGAGGCTCACTGGACAAGCACTTTCTGAGGGTCTGCGTTTCTCAGGCTGTGGATATTGAATGAATAAGATTGGACACTTGTGACAATGGCATAGTGATGTGTTAGAAGAAAGGAACTAACAGATGCAATGCAGAGGAATTGTGATTATTTAATTACTTTAAAAAATAATATAGAGCATGTAAACCAGAGATTAATATAACAGGAGTTAATTCTGCATGTTTCCCGAGAGAAGGCCAACTTCCTCTGCTCCTAGAGCCTTCTAGTTAAATTGTCAGGAGACTCTGAGTAGGCATCTGCTGAGAGAGATGGCACTGAACCAAACCTAGGCAGATGACTAGAAGCTTTGTCAGGCCCAAAGGAGAGAAGGGTGTTCCTGGCAACAATATTCGCATTTGCAGAGGTGTGGAGGCCAAATTGCATGCT